TTTTTTTTTTTTTTTTTTTTTTTTTTTTTTTTTTTTTAAGAAATGGAAAAGTTCCTAAATTAGTCCTTCCTTTTTGGACCAATGCTGCAATGTTTATATTTCTCGAAAGGTATGGCCTGAAAATTCCTTCTACAATAAACAAATAGAACAAGGTTGACTGTGGGCTGGATGACCAGACCTTTTTATCATGGCTTTTAAAAAATACCACGGGGGTTGGAATGGTAGAAGGAAAAAAGGAGAAAACCTGAAGAGCATCAAACCTAGTGGTCTGGGCCTCATCCAAAAGCTATGTTACTGTCAGCTTTTAACTGCTGTATTATCCCAGCTAGTTTTGAACTCCAGGAATATAACACCAAGAGCTCTTGCACTTCTTAAACTTATACAAGATTTTTTTTAAAACTACATGAAACAAATTTTAAAATATAGTCTCCCTTGGAAAGGACCACATGGGCTGCTACAAATACAGTAACTGGCCCTCTAAGAGACAAACTGTGTGCCTAAATGATCTCCATGAAGGAAACTGTGACACTAGCCTAAGCTTGGAGGGACGGGAAAAAAGCCAGTATTGTTTCATGATAATCATACACAAATGGTGCTGCCTTATTACGGCACTAGAATAACCAGGGGAAAAGAACAGAGCAGCTCAAATGTATGCATGCAAATACATAAATGGAACTGAATCTGAACAGCCAGGAGAGAATAACTGAGAAATGAAGAAATAAACTTCATTTTTCCATTCAAATGAATAGAATGAGAATAAAGAACGCAACTGTCCATTTAGCACCCCTCCTGGGAGGCATAACTCTACTTAGCTAGAAAAGTGTGAGATGCAAAAATACAACAATCTTTCATAATTACATAAAAATGCTAGGCTGGTCTCTCTCCCTTCAGTGCTCAAGATACTAGAGATTCATTGATAAAACAACCAAGAGAGACAGGGTACTTTAGTCGACAACGTGTGATCCAAACTGCAGAAAAATGAAAACAAACAAACAAGAAAGTAACAGGCTATCGTGCTAAAAAAGAGATCAAAGTTTTCCTGACTCAAGCAAAATGCCTGTTCCCCAAAAACTGTTTTAGAAAAATAATTTAGAAAACCAAGTGGAACAGCCTAAAATTTCCCCAGGGACAGTGTTTGGCTCCTATTTGTTCAAAGCATAAACTCCCCTTCTAGTTGTAAAAGCTCCCTATTACTCAAATGCAACACCAACAAGTTGATATGCTAAAAGTGTGTGCAACTATAAAACAAATATCATTCTTTAATGTCACCCTTACTACCATCTACACAAGTTTTCTATTCTTCCTAGTGTATAAACATGTAAAATCTGGGTTTTCCAAATATTCAAGAAATTAGTATTTTTCTAGAAATTGTTTTCTTCCAACTCCAACCCCTGTGCAATTAAGAATCAGGACACAGACATTCCAGGAGAGATAGGAGGAGTCTATGACATTGCGTGAAGTTAATTCCTATTATAAAGGTTTTTCTTCAAATGTTTTTCTCTTTCAAAAAGAGTAGCCATGAAATCAGTGGTGATGCAGATTCATTTTTTCTCTGTTGGTGACACATGTTTTAGCAAAGTTTGTTTCTCCGTCAATCTCCTGAGAGCTTACAAAGTAGCACCAGCACATCAGTACACAGAACAGTCTCGCTGAGTCACGCTAGCATTTAATGAAAACGAGTAATCAGAATTTGGGGGGGAAATTTGGACAAACATCTCATAATTAAAATCTGATGGGAAACTTCATCGTACTTGCCTCGAATCTTTGAAAAGTTGTCAAACGAAAATCTCCTTCAATTCCCGAAAGCAGTAACAGAGAAGATAACTTTTGAATCAAAACATTCATTACATTTCTATATGTGCCTCACGGTTTTAAAGAGCCTTTCTTAATAGCTTCCCTGCCACAATGCCACTATTCATACTTAAAATTCCACACCCAACTTACATTTTTTAAAACTTCTCTTGCTTTTCCAAAAGAGCTACAAAGGCCTTAGTGGTTGCCTGGCAATTAGAACTAGGAATCAACCACTAATTAGAAGACAATCATGAATAAGTTATCTACTCGGTACTGAAATGAATGAAATAATTGGCTGTGGAAAATTTTTAGGGACACTTGAAGTAAACTTAAAGAAAGCAAGTCTTAGGAAAATAGAATAGTCCAGGGAGAATTGTCCGCCATCTTGTTGTCACTGGTCATATAATAACAGCTTTTTAAAGCGGCTTTAAAACCAGGCCAACTATTTCTCATTTATCCCCCAGAAGCCTCGGTGATTAGTCACAATGGCTTCCTTTTGTAAGAGTCAGTTTCAAGCTGCTCACTTACTGAGGCAAATCCTGGATGCATCCAAGCTAAAAATCTTTCATACCAAGAGGAAGAATAGGGAGCTCCCCTGAAGGGTGGGGGTTTTATTCAGCCTTTCTTAATTAGACAAGACCTACGTGGATGTTTTTGCTCTGGGATCATTTGCTCTGTGTTTATCATTATGACGCCAAGCTATGCAATAATCCATTATTCTGAGGTTTTAAGTCCGATTAAGGAACGATACAACTGTTGTGCTTTACGTGGTGAAGCTAAGCCTCCCCAAATTATATAGGAATATAGTTATCTTTTAATCTGTTAGCATCACCGATAAACATCAAGTTAGTATTTGTAGTACTCACCTGTACTCTGCTGTTGGGGAATCTGGGTTTGATGCGGCAAGTTCCTAGAAATGATTAACAGGGTTGAGTAACACTGTGTTTACATAAATGTAAATAGAAAGCAGACTTATTATAATGAAAATCTGCAGGGAGACAGGACCTCAACTCAGCCAGCACCACTCCTCCAGCCCTTCCCAAGTTAAGGGATGAGGAGGCTGAGGTCTGAGGAAGACACGAATAATAACTGCTAATATGTATGGAATTATCACTACCTGCTATATCCTAAACTACCTCGTAACAAGCCAAAGAGGTAGACATTATTATTTTTCCCATTTTACAAATGAGGAATAGCTTCAGAGGCCCAAGGCCATAGAGCTAGGAAGCGTATGACAAAGATGTGAACACAGTTACCCCAGAAATTATGTTCTTGACCTGCACACTTTCAGGTATGCTCACACTTTATCTCTCATCTCGTCATAAGACATTTTGAGGTACCTTTTTAAATATATTATTACCATCTTTCACTCTCAGACCTGTGGTCTCTCTCACCCTGTCAGCGAATGGCCATCTACCCAACTGCACTGGTGAAAATGCAGAAATCATCCTTCTTTCTTCCTTTCTTTCAATATCTATATTCAGTCACTTGGGAATTTAAACCACATCTCCTCAATCAACCGAATCTCTCCCTTTCTTTCCTATTTCCATTGCTGGCTTGGTTGAAGCTGTCCTGATTTCTGCAACCTTACACCCATCTCGATATGTTGCCTCACTTATAATGCTGCTCCCTGATACTCCACTCTGGGTGTTGCTGTCAGCGTGCTCTTCTAAGACTCAAATCTGATTATGTCATTCAAATAACACATGTTAATATTCCTTTACGGCTATCTGCAAAATAAGTTTCAGGTTTCTTAGTGTGGGCTCAGGCAGCCATCACTCTATCTGGTCCCCACAAAGAGTACCCCACTGGCTTAAAGATCATCTGCCAACCACCACAGCAGCTGTTACGGCCGGCCGTGTTCAACCAGCACGCCTCTGTCCTTGCAAATCAACTCATAATTCATTATAGCAGACACGTAATTCTCTTATGAGTGAAAAATTCCCATAAAGAATACCATTGAAAGTTTAACATATTATTTTTCATTAAAGAATAACATTTCAGAAACCATCTCATCTAAGCCTTCTCAGTTACTACCCTTAACATGCGTTCATGCTATTCAAGCTGACTGCTATTGTATTTCTCTTTGATTACTGTTTAGTTACACCGAAGTGCCTTATTAATATGAACTATCCTGTTTTTTTCACTATCTCCAACAGGAAGCATATGATATTTTTTGAATGAAAATGCAAAAAACTGAAGGTATTTACAAAGACTCACAAAATACACATGATGCATTAACATGCTAAAATATCCATTTGGTGTATCAAATTTTGATCTTAATATTACTTTATGAAAATGGACAATTTAGGTTCTGTGCAGATGAAACTCTAGGAGTCAGCCCTTTGCTACAAAGCAATGTTTGATGAAAGCCAGGGATTCCAAATTTTTACTTTTTCTTCAGTAATGAAATTCCTCTTAATTGAAATCCTTAGCACAACTCTGATCTACAAAAGAGATAAATGTGTGAGTTCCCTGTGTTGAAACAAGGAACCTAGGAATCCAGCCTGCTTTCCATGTCCTATGTTCAACATGCTGGGCCTTAAGACATGTTTAAGAAACTTCCAAGAAGGAGGAGTCTGAAAATCACTGATCTGAATCATTTTATCCAAGCAAATATTATGTTCCAAATGCAATGATCTAAAGCAAAACACAGTGCAAGCTAGTTAAATACTATTTAAACTCCATCTCTAGTGTGTCTAATTGAGTTTTTATTTTAAAAAATGAATTCTACTTTATACTGCTAAGGAAACAACAAAATCAACTCTTATATGACAAACTATAAAATATATATATTATAAATAGGAAGAAGGGAGAAGTTCATATAATTCACCAAATTACCTATTCTGTTGTTTCAAAAATATTTAATATATATGCTAATTTATTTCATTTATACTACTAGTTTCAGTAAGTTTATTGAAAAAGTCATGCTGTTTCTTCTTTAAAAGACAGAATCTTTTTATCTATGTTCTTTACTCTGAGTACTTTGAAGATAATGGTACAGTGTATTAACCATCATCTTTTTTATTAGTTTGTTATGATATTTTTTATTTTTCATAAAAAATTAATTCTAAATTTAAGGACAGTAATAATTCATCCCAATGATCACATTCTTTTTTTCTTATGTTCTTTATTGCTATTATATATTAACCATACTTGTCTTCATGTGGTATAAGGATGTATTTATTTTGATCTGTTCCTTAGTATTTCACACAATGCACATATATTGGTTATGGTCATAAAAGTAAAAAGATGAATTTTGAAACTACACAGAGGAAATAAGTTCTAGATCTAAACACTGAAAGACAAAAAACACCTTTACTACCAAAGTCAAAACACATTTATGTGAGCATTTTGGGGTGGGATGGAGGATGAGCCTTATTTTAACGACCCGAGTATAACTGATTTCAGTCTATTCTGCACTCTAACTGAATACAGCACTTGTTGTGTGTATCCACAAACACCACTCGCAATCGCATCCTCCTTCTCTGTCATCTCTAGCTCTACCTAGTGTGCTAACAGATTGAATCATGTTCTGACAGAGAAGAGGAGGGGGAGGAGGGGGAGGGG